GGGGCGCGGCGCGGCGCGGGCCTCCCCCCCGGCCCGCCCCGGCGCCCGCGGCCGCGCACCTGCACACGGTGATCAGGTTCCTCCTCTCCACCGCAGCGTTGCGGGCGCTGAGGCTCTTCTTGCCGCCGCCGCCGCCGCGGCCCCCGCCCAGGCCCGCCAGGCTCCGGGAGGCCATGGCGGGCTCGCCCCCGCGCCCCCTTTGTCTCCAGCGGTCCCGCAAGCCCCGCGCCCCCCGCTGCGGGAGGGAGGGAAGGAGGCGCGGAGCGGGCAGGGCGTGGAAGGCACTGGGGGGGCACCCCGCGCCGGGCGCCCCGCTCCCCCGCGCCCGCGCGATCGATCACACGCACACAGACACACACTCCACCAGCGCACACGCACACAGACAGGCACGCACGCACGAGCCTCCGCCGCCCGCGCGCGCGCGCCGCCGCCGCCGTCCACCGGGGAAGCGCGTGCGGGTTCCGGGCCCGGGCACTGCGCTGCTTCCCTCGGGACGCGGCACGGGCCGGCGCGCGGGCGAGCTCTAACCGCACGTCATTCTCCCGGCAGGGCGGGGCCGCGGAGGTGAGACACCCTCTCCACACCACCCCCTCCTCCGGCTGCCGCACGCAGCCCCGCCTCCTGCACCTATGGGAACGAAGCTCCTCCAGAGAGAGCCAATGAGAGGAGGCGGGGGGCGGGATCAGCTCCCGGGGGGAGGAGCCTCCAAAGCTGCTCCCTTAAGCCCCGCCCCGGCGCGTGGGCCGCTGTCAGAACGCGGGCCTGGCTCGTGCGGCGTCAGTTGGCGCGCGTCGAAGCCGCGGGTGGCTCGGTGCGGATCCTGGAAGGCCATCCGGCTTCGCGTGCCGAATCCACGGCGACTCTGGTCTGAAGCCACCCTGACAAGCGTCAAATTTTCATGACAGATTCCCAGTCCTGGGGTTCCTGCCTGACAGACGGCAGCGACACAATGGCATCAGGCACTGTGCCCCTAGCATTTCCAGTCACGTGAGTCTGGTTAGGTCTGAATTCTTGATTCTCCTCCCCTCGTCTTTCCACCTCAGTGTCCAGCACAGCCTGAAACCCGACTGACCACAGAAGAGTGTTGTGCTCAGTGAGATCTGGAGAGCACCTAGTTAGTGACCCACCCTTGGGGAAGTTTGACCGAGGGCAAAGGGAAATGCTGAAAGCCTGAAAGACAGCTCAGAATGGACCACTTTGCAGAGTCTCCACTTTTCTGGCCTTACCTGTGGTGGGGCTCTTGGCTTGAGGCCCTGAACTCTGGCTCTCACCTCAGACTACTACTTTCAGGCCAGTATGTCGAGACTTCAGGTTTTTGGTTTAATTTTGAAAATCTAAAATCATCAGGACAAACTCTCACCTCTTTAAACACTTAAATCTAATTATGTTAAAATAAAAACATATGTAGGAAAATACACAACAAGGTTACTAGGGTAAATATATATATGAGAAAATAACTTAGACTCTAAACTTTATCTTTCCCATGCATGAATCAAAGCAGGTGAAGTTTCCAGATACGGGGTTATGTGATCTGTCGATGCACATGTTATCAAATATTCCCTGTCCATTCAACTGACATAGATGCTTCTCGGGAGGTTCCCCTTCTAGCCCAAATGTATGACTCCAGAACCAGCCACCAGAAGACAGATGCACTGGCTGCGCAGCCAGGTTTATGCTAGCAGTGACAACTAGAACTCAAATTGGAGATAAGTTTTTAAACCTGAGATTATAAGTGTCTAAGGAAATGCATAGAAAACCATTAACTATTAAAAAATTTCTAGATCTTCTTAGTTGTGGAGTCCTTGACCCCTCCAGCTCCCTCAATCCTTCCCCTAACTCTTCCACAAGATTCCCTGAATTCTGCCTAATGTTTGGCTCTGGGTCTCTGCATCTGTTTCCATCATCTGCTAAATGAAGCCTCTCAGAAGACAGTTATGCTGGGTTCCTGTCTGCAAGGATACCAGAGTATTATTAATAGTGTCATGGGTTGGGTCTTTCCCGTGAGGGGATGTAAAATGAACACATAATAAATTAATAAAGAAAAAAAAAAGAAAAATTCTAGAGCAAAGGATGGTGGTTCTGATGACTTAGGTAAAAGGAATTATTTTTTTAAATTACTGTTGTGTTGCTGTGGCCAAAATATCTGACATAGACAGTCTGAGGGAGGAAGGGTTTGTTTGGGTTCATGTTTCAGAAGGTTCATGGCATGGAGGGCTTTAGGAGAACATTGAAACTGACATCAAATCTGAGAGGATGTTGAGTGACAGGAAATCCACCAGGGATAAGACAACTCCAGGATCTTCTTTCAGTGACCTGTTTTCTCCAATAGGTCCCACTGCCCAAAGTTTCCACAACCTTCCAAAATAAAGCCATCAGGTGGGGACAAAACATTTGAGACCTATGCCCCTGTAGAACATTTCAAGATGCAAATTGAACAGTAGGCAACATAGTAAGACCCTGTCTCAAAAAGATCTAGGAAATAGGAAAGTTTATGAAGTTAAGTTGTAGGCAACCTTATTTGGTAGATTTGGAAGGGAAGAATATATAAAGAAGTTGAAAGTGAGCAATCATTTTAAAACAAACAAAAAAAGCGAGATTGGCTTTCTCGCATCAAGTGCACTTTCCTGTTATTTGTACTATAAGGTATTTCTGACTGAAAACAGTAAAATTCCACTGTAAATTATCTAGCTACAATGTTAATTTTTATTGCTTTTAGTTGGTTCACTTGACACAATACTTGCTTTTACCATAAAAATTCATTTACCATTGTATGAACAGCTATCATTAAACTGCCACTTGGGGGGCTCATTTGATAAGAATCCCCCCTATTATTTACCTTGAGTGATATGTTCTGAAATTTTTTTCAAATTACTAATCTGCAAACAAGAAAGTGATTAAAAATCAATTATATCTAGTATACTCCTATTATAGAACTTCAATGAGTTTTCACACTATTTTTTAAACTCCTTTTGGTGAATATTTCAATTCACTATTTGGATATTTGCATAATACTTAAATATATTTAAAAATTCACTATACCAAAAAAAAATCACTATATGCTCTAGCAAGACAACCTAGTCAGTAGAATGTTTGAAAAGACTTGAATTCAATCCCCAGAACTCATTTTAAAAACCTGGTTTAATGGCATGCTTATAAGCTTGATGCTGGGGAAGTGGAGACAGGCAGATCCCTGGAGCTTGCTGACCAGCCAACCTAGGCTGATTGGCTAAATTTAGACCAATGAGAGACCTCTATTTAAACAACAACAACAACAACAATAAAAAAAAAAGGTAGAGAGCTTCTAAGGAACTACAGACATCTGGATACCCAAAAAAAATTTTGACCTCTGACCTCCAAGTGCATGTACACACACATATACATTAATACAAGCAGCACTTTAATACATGCTAAGAATAAGATACACTTTAAAAACATATATGCTCAATCTAGCCAATAGGAATCCTATACTGCTAATACTTACACCATACCATTCTTACTAGTATACCATTATCCCCAATATTCTCATCATCAAAAGAAATAAAATTACAAATATAACACATAAAAATCCTCAAGCACAAAATTCTGTAGATCAGAGATTACCAAACATACCATAATTTATGTTTTAATCTGAGAAGCAAACAATTTTAGAAACAAATTTTATCTATGTAACCTTATTAAGAAAAATACTAGGAAAACTGTTTTAGTTAGGGTTTCTACTGCTGTGAAGAGACACCATGACTGTGGCAGCTCCTATAAAGGAAAACATTTAATCGGAGCTGACCTTACAGTTTAGTCCATTATTGACATGGCAGTAAGCATATGGCACGCAGACAGGCATAGTGTTGGAGAGGTAGTTGAGAGTTCTACATCTGGGCCAACAGGCAAGAGTTACAGAACTGTGAGCCATTAGGCCTGTAGACCTGGTATAAGCTTTTGAGACCTCAAAGCCAGTTCCCAGTGTTCTAAGCGGTTATTAATATTTACTATTGGTTTATCTTCTAGTAAAGCTTACTGTTAATCTTAAACAGCTGTATAACCAAATCACCACGCAGAGTCTGGGTTTTAGTTAACCTAGAATACAATGCTGGGCAATATTTAATCCCTCCTAAACCTCTAAGCCCTCAGTTTCCTAACATTTAGATTTCCCACATTATACTTGCTTTTTGTGAAATCTTAGGTCTGGTTCATGTTCCATGTCCTCCAAGATCTCTCTTCCAGCTCTGCTCCTATCTCTCCACTCACTCCTTCTCCTCCCACTCATCTCCTGTCTTCTCACTCCTCCTCCTCCTCCCTGCTCAACATTGTGTCTAGTTGCTTTATTTTGTCCTGTTTACACAAGAGTTGAGACAGGATGCTTAGAATGAGTATCACAATGCAATATCCGGATTGAAACCAGAGAGTTGGGGGTGGGTGGTGGAGAGAAATCAGCATTTGAATGAACAAGGGTAAGGTGTATACATTAAAAAAAAAAAAAAAAAAACAACAACAACATTATGCCAACATCCCAGTAACCCTCTTCCTCTAACAAAGCCATACCTACTCCAGCAAGACCACGGCTCCTAATAGTGCCACTCTCTATGAGCATATGGAGGCCATTTTCTTTCAAACCACCACAAAAACTAATAATAATTTCTAAATGAGATTTTCAGACAAGATACAATAAAATGCTGATTTAATTGTAGTGATACATTGTTACATTAAAATGATTTTAAAGAAAATTCTTGTGAGATCTATAAAATCAAGAGAATAAAATTTTATTTTAGCATTAATTTGTTATGTCCACAGTAAATTTGGTATATACAAGCTTAAATGTATAAATATGGTAGTAATGATTCTGTCTTGAAATGCTAGGGCTAATTTAATCATATATATGTATATGTGTGTGTATATATATCTATACATGAACCCATATCCACCAAAATCTCTGATTGGTGCTCAGAACTTGACTAACTACATCATTCAACTTAGACATTTAGCCAATTATATTTACCACAGTCAATAAGTGAATATAAGTAAAAAAAAAAATTGAATATGGATTCATTATTCAGATCTTCTCCAAGGTGTTATTTTACTTCATCATGGCTCACAAACTTGACCTTGATAATAATGTTATTATCTTCTGAAACATTTCTTGGTTGATTTGGGAAGACTGTGCATTATGGTTATTAGTTTTCTAGCATATAAAAAGTTTCACCAGTTTATTACACTTATATAACTCCTTTTATTAGCTGAACATTCTACAGGTCAGAAGCCAGCCAACTCAGGTTGGTTTGCTGCTCAGAATCTGCCAAGGTTGAAATCCAGATGTCAATTAAGTGGTTATTATCTGGGAAAAATCTTGTCAATAGTGCTTTTGTTGAACAAACCATGGGCCTGCTGAGGTGGCAAGGAAGGATCTAATGGCTGAGCTGAGGTTAAGGACAGAGGAGAGAATGGACTAAGAAAGAGCTTGTGAGAGGAAGTATCCAGGCAAAATGAACAACATTTGCAAATGGCCTGTGGCTAGAGGAAATACAGTGCCTGAGG